AGAAATTAGCTGAGATTTACTGTGGTTGAGTGGAAAGAGACAGTGATTGTAAAGCTTGCGAAGGCGAGGCTTCGTTGCTGTTGCTGCTATCGTTCTCCATTGACAATGGCGTAGAGATTTTGAGCTAATGCTTTTGTGGGGTGAGGAATATATTGTTCTTAGGTTAAAAATGGGATCTTGGGAGTAGGGCGAGAAGATGAAGAAGGCAAATGTGAAACTATTTGGGCCTGACCCAATAAGATCTGTTTGGCTGTTTGGATTGTAAAAAAAGTTAACAACAAACCTAGAGTTGCAAACGAGCTCTTATTGAGTGATTAGACTCGTACAAAATAATTGCAAATGTTTGATATTGATATTAGTAGCCCATACAAGATGTTTATTGATAGCCCGAATATTTTTCACTCTCAAGCCCAATATTCTTTGACGTGAGCTCATCTTCGGCAGCCCCTTCGATCTATGTGATATTGGCCTTGGCCGTATTTAAGTGGTTTGATCTCGGCCGTTCGTTGCCCTCTTTAAATGCCTATCAAGTGGTCAATTTGTAGTGTTGCCGAATGTTCTGATATCCCATACGCAACATCCTTAATTTCTGCTCACTCTTCGTGCCGCTCTCTTATCTCTCACTCTGTTTTGACTTTGTATCAAATTGACCCTACCTTCTTTTATCTTTCGAAATATTTGTGACAAAAGGATTGAGAATGTAAAAAGATCTCCCTAGTGTATTTAGTTAGGTTAGTCGCAAGAGGTGTTTGAAGGTTTCGTGTACGGGCAGTTTCAGGCCGAGCTTTGTGCGTCGACCGGTGGTATTACAGTTGCGCTTGCAGAGCTGAAGTTATTGTGGTTACATGTCCATTGATCGGTTCTTCGGTGACCCTATTTGAGGGGTTGACGAAAGGGGGTCGAGCCTAGTCGTATTGACATATACTCGTGGTTTTTGAGTCCTCCTGGACGAACTAAGTGAATGGTGTATTCATTCCAATCTAATCTTTTATTTATTTTTCATCATTCTTAAATTATGTGTGTTATTTAATTTCTGAAATTTGACTATAATTTGGCTAATTTTGATTTTATCTTGAAACGAATAGACTGAGACATGTTGGAGAACTGGGTTTTGTCCTGTATGAAGCGAAGGTCTTCCAGGACAAATCGAATGTTGTTCGGGACCTATCGGTCAGCCCGGGCCCGACGAGGCGAGGCGAACGACCACTCAACATTCAAGATAAGCTCGAATGTTCCTCAAGTTCGACTTAAATTTTCAATAAAAGTTTTGCATTTAAATAAGATTTTATCTTGAATTTAGTTTGGATTTGGCTCGAAGTTTGTTCAAATTAGGGTATTTAGGCAAATTCCATTTGTACTCGAGCGACCCATCGAACATCCGAATTCCTAATATATTAGCTTGAGTTCGATTCGAGATGCTGGGGCTAGACTCATGCTCGATCATACTCGAGCTCGAGCAGACATGGCCAAACGGCCCAACCCTCCGATCCCAGAGCTGAACCAATGGATCGATAAGATAAATCGACGGTCCCGATTCAGGCCTATCCCGTCGGGCCCACAGTTCGCCGATAAATTTTATTATTTTTTCCTTTTTTTTTTAATTTCTTGGTGGACCGCGGGGTCCAGTGGTCATGAAATTCTGGACCGGTGGACCTCCACCAGTCACAAGATCCAACCGTCAAAATTAATAATTCTACCATTGCACGACCTAACCCGTTCGTCCAGGTTCCGAACTAGCCCGACCCTGCAAAAAAAAATATATATATTTTTTTTTTTATGTTGACACTGAACCATCGATTCAGGCTTATGACATTGAATTGGTATCGAAACCGGCGATTCATTTTTTTTTTTTTTTAAGGGGAGGCCCAAACCGTCCCGACCATAATACGAGCTATGTTCATGAACATTGTTCAACGGGTCAAGCTGGTTCCGAAACCTACAATCAACAGCCAGACGATTCCAAATCTTTTAATCATTAATTTTAAATTTTAAGGAAAAAAATTAATAAGTACTCGTATAATACACGGACGTTGTACTAGTAATCTTTTAATCAATAAATTATGGTATCAAATCCCATCCATTTTCTTTAGCAAAATAGTAATAAGATTATTAGAAGGACCTTTCTAAAATTTTTTGGTGAAAGTGTAAAATTGGGTCTCAACACTTGATGGGCTATCTTTCAACATTTCCTAGCCCAAATTAAACTTGGGCTCCAAGAGATTGGCTAAGTTGCCAACTTAAAAATTAATATAAACTAAAACTACTAAACTAAAACTACTAGCTAACCTAAAAATTATATCACAATAAAATGTGCAATTTTAATGACAATAATTCGTTTTTAAACAAACTTTGTAAGATGTCAACAGTTAAAATATATGATTATTAAAAAAGTTACAAAATTACATTAAAAAAAAAAAATTAACTTGTACAATTTTCTCTTATCCATTACATTAAACAAAGCATGTGTTATTTCTGGCCTAAATCATGTCACGGGTGGACAATCATCAATCAATCACATAATAGAATTCTGATTATTAGGCCACTTTCTTAGGAAGTTCCAAACCATGTGCTATAACTCTTTTTTTATTTCAACCAAAAACTATACATAAAAGTGTAGTGACAAAAACCCATAAATTTATAGTCCAAACCATAAATTTATAGTCCAAAGGTCTTTATAATATGTGTGTGCCATTAGTAGCTAGAACAATATCAATTTGTATCCTAAAAAGAAAAGTAAACAAGAAATTTAAATACTATTCTAATTCAAACTCACAATTATTTATAATTTTCTTTTGAGTGCATGTATTTTCTTGTACTCCATTTCCTTGACCCAAAGTAGAAAAAAGTCTTTCTTCAAACTCACCTAATCATTCAAGATCATGCATTTTTATGGGGATTGTAGTTCCACTTGATTTCTACATTAGAATTAACCTTTGTCAAAACTAGTTGTTGATATGTGGATTTGTATCAACTGGTAATTAAGAACTACACATAGATTATGGAGATTACACTGTGGAGTAATAAGGGATTTTCTAGTAAAAGTACGAAATTTGGACTTGAGATTGGTCGGCCTCTAGGCTTTAAATGCTTGAATTAATTACGAATGATCATTTTTTATTACAATGAATGTATAGAGAGAATTTCTAGAGAGTTATGGAGATTTTTTCAACCACCATAATAATTGAAATGTAGAACTATTTATAGTTAAACACCCTCGACATATTGTTCATCTAATGTTCACCGGGTCACTTTGTACAGTAAACCCAAATGACAAACATTAAATGAGGTATGGCTGATCTTAAATGATAATTAACAGTCATTTAATGTTGATTGATGAGTCTTTAATGAGAACATGTCACCCTATGGATCTACGAGTAGTAGGTCTGTAGAGTTGGTGGGTCCATTCCATATGTCATCATTTATTTGCAAGTGACAATATTTTATTATTTCTTGACTTTGAGTGCGTTTCAAGGCCCGACTTCCAGGATCCTTGAGGTCGGACTCTAATATCGACTTGAGGTTAGATCTCTGCTTCTTGCCCTAATCTCGGACTTTCTTCTTGCTTAGAGGTCGGACTTTCTCCTTATCGTGCTTGTTTTTCTGTTGTCTACTTATTTCTAGGCTCAGACCGCCTGTAGCTGAGGGACCGACCTGAACGTCGGGCCTAAAAAGACCGACCTGGAAAACCTGCTTTTGAGGATCATTTACTTGCTAAACCGTCTCATTAAGGTTGTTGAGTTCCGAATTTATTCTTTTCAACTCGGATGCCAACGCTAGCATTCTTTAATTATTGAATAATAAAAAAAACCATAAATGGATAATCGAGGCGTATTTGAGTCTACAGGCGATTAAACTAGAGATTTAAAGATTTGACATTCTTATAATGCGATCATTTGGAGAATTCATCGACATTTTCTATATGTTATTGTTCTTTATGTCGATGGGATGCAGAAGAAAATACAATATGTATAATCTAAGAACCACAAACACTTCATAAAACTGATTTACATTGGATGACATCCCAATTTTAGTCCACCATTTATTAAGATTCCCTATTGTAGTGCAAAATTGTGTAAAATGATGTGTAAATGAAATAATAAATAGATAATAAAACCAAGCCCTACTCATAATAGTATAATATATTCCATGTATTATTAACAATAATAAAGTTTACAAGTGATCACCAAATTGCAAAACCAAAACACAAACTTTAATCATCCTATATAACACTTGGATCAAACTAATACATATGCTACTAATTGAATCCCCCCCACAATGCAAGCCCTTAATTAGGCATGAAACTCACATAATTTTTCCTAATTAGAGAGAAAAAACAAGCTAATTAAGGCTTTAATTAAGACAACATTTTAACATTAGGAGGCTGCTAATTTTTCAAAGAGGCCTAGCCTATTATCAGATAGTCTTGATTTGTAAGCAGATTTTTTGTACTCAAACCATGTAAATTCCTTGTACAAGCTGTCTCTACCTTCCATTAATGAAGGCAATGGAGCTATTTTCTCACTCAATGGTGGCCCTCCAAAATAAATCATTGAAAGCCTTGACTTTGAGGTGTTGGTCAAAACCCTATGCCTTACACTCTTAAACCTTCCATTTGTCATTACCTGTTAAAAAAAAAAAATATATCATAAGATAATTGAACATATTTAAAATGTATCTAGCTGATCAGAAATTCTATGGAGCCATCGGATGGCTCCCTTATGGCTCCATAGCAAAATCGTCTAACTGACATGTCAGAAGATTAAAACAATATATAAAGCAGGTAAATAGGTATATGACTACAAAATTATGAAATTTTGATACTGTGTCTGGTAAGTTCATATTAATATGTACACAATTGGTAGATTTTTTTTTTTTTTGTTTGGTACAAGAGGGAGGGAAACCTACGCAACAAACTATTTAAAAACTTTCTGAGGATAGGACACACCGATCATATCATGATTTAACTATAAGCCCGCGCCGGAGGAGAATACTCCAACCTATGAAGACTACCCGAACTCTTTGCCGCTAATATTTTTTTTTTTTTTTTTAAATGACTAACCAAATATTAAAGGAAAAATGAATGATATAAATTGATTGATTATTTATGAAATATTTTTTTATATTTTCTGTTTTGTACAGTGCTTCCCACGTGAGTGATTCAAAAAAAATATAAAATTATATGAAAAATATCGAAAATTAAAATTTTTTAAAAGATTCTGACTGCCCACCTAAGTGGTTGACCTTTGACTATTGGGAAATAAAATCTTGTTGTCGAGGAATCTAGTCAAGATTTATCTTAGGAAAACTATTCTTTTATAATAAGGTATAAAGAATATTGGGATTTCATTGAAAATAGACACAAAAAAAGGCACCTTTTTAAATTAAAATAATTCTAGTCATAACTAGGAAACTTCACATCATTGGCCAAATATTATTTTAACAATCATGAAAAGTAGAAAATTATTAGTAACCAAAAAGAAACAATAAAAAGTAAAAAAAAAAATAGAAAATTCTAAGAAGGTCCCCCATCACCTCAAATTGATACATGCATAATATTCCTTTTGTCTAATTATTGGAATTTGTTAGGCCGATTCGAACATCAGATAGTCGTAATATTTTAAATGTCGAGAAAAGTTTGTTCTAACAAAGTCGATCTATCTAACTGTTATCCTGCATTGCACCAACATTTGTTCGAGAAAAAATTCTTCGATTCGACACATCGATTTCTATTCTTAAAGAATTAAGCCACTTGATTGTTGAAAGAAGACATAAACAAGTAAAAAATAAAAGAATTTAAACGAAAAAAGTAGTTATACCTGCAATGAATCGCCAACATTAATGAAAAAAGAACTCTCGTCTGGCGGGACAGAAATCCAGCTACCATCCTTAAGCGAGATTTGGAGGCCCGAAGTATTATTGGACCTCAAAACGGATATAATCTGCGGGTCGGTGTGCTCCCCAAACCCGATTAGGTTAATGTCTTTCGAGTTTGGATAATCGGGCCGTGGTGGATAGTGGTTTAGCCTAAAAATAGAGTCACTCTCTTCATCCATTAGAAGTTTGCTGAAAGTGTTTCTTGGCTGAATCTGAAGCCCATCAGCTAACATCTCAAGAACTTCACATGCCATTTTCTTCACTGCCTTCAAATATTCATTCACCACAAAGCTATATATAGAAAAAAAAAAAGTAAAAAATAACAAGAATTTGATGTTAGAAAGTTGGTTATGGGATTTCATAATTCCATGTTCATATAATAATTTTATTCCACTGATTATCATGTATGCAACAATTTATTTAAACACGTGTCAGTTATCTGTAAAAAACATATCTTTCAGCAACAATTACTTAGTTATGAATCGGAACGTAAGTTTCGACCCGGGAAAATCATAACCCGAATTGAAAAAAAAAAATTCAAATTTATATATTATTAATATTTTATTTTACTACATGATTACCACTAT